CACTGACTACACACACACACTAACAGCCCTTGCCTGGCACATTCCATTTACAACATTTACATTTTGGATTCATATTAATATAAACAATGAAATATTTACATTAACCAATAACCCGAACGTCACACCTGATAAAATATTTACACACAGCCCGAATATGTCCTTAATTAATATAAATGTACATTTACACAAAACCAAACACCCCTCTGCTCACTTCACATTGGTTCGGATCCCCCCGGAACTAATATCAGATGCGCGAGTCTCTGGGGGAACTGTTTTGACCGAACACCCGGAGAGGAGTAACACACGCGCAGGTAAATTTGTTTGTTGGAATTTCATTCAACCGCTTTTTATTTCAGTTTTTCACAATTGTTAAAACACTTTTCTTTTCTTTTTTAATCCTCCTGAATCCTTTTCTCACAATTCTAAACACAAAACTCTTTTTTCAATCTGCATTCACAAAACCACATCATCTCCTCAAAACGGTTTCACATGTGCTCAAAACCAATGTTGTCAGATCTTGCACGAGTCGGTCAAAATAGAAAAACTCATTAAACACTGCACCAAACAAATTGAGAACACAGTGGTCCAGGCATGTTGCTCATGGAGAAATGTTCATTGGTCACAATAAAGAACTTTACACAGCTGATCATTGAGCTTCGTCCTGTCTTTGGGCTGGGTCAGGCCACAGCACTTCATCCACATCACATGTTATATTTGCCCTTGCCAGGCAATGGGGGCGGGGGAATACCCTAGTGTGCCGTACCCAGCCCTGACACATCTCCTCACCAATGTCATCACAGGCCTCAAGAAGATTACAGTCAGCCTGGAGTAGGGCTGTCGCTCGTACACCTTCCATCTCCAAGTGGAGAAAAACTCCTCTATTGCATCGAGGAAGGGAGAGTACGGTGGCAAGTATAGGTTATATGGCGGTCGCCCGAATGTCATCAGTAATTGCCACTCTTCGTCTTCCTCTGCCTCCTCTTCCTCTGCCTCCTTCTTGTCCTCCGCCTCTGCCTCCTCATCCTCTGTGTCTCTGATCCATTGTTGTCATGAGCTTGCCGGACAAACCTGCCTGCACTCTGAACTGGCTTATATTGGTTGTCATGTTGTCATGATGAGAAACAAGTGTGGTCAATTTTCAATCGTTGGGTTCAATGGATGACACACACGTTTCGTTTGGGTTCAATGGATGACACACACGTTTCGTTTGGGTTCAATGGATGACACACACGTTTTGTTTGGGTTCAATGGATGACACATGTGTTTTGTTTGGGTTCAATGGATGACACATGTTTTGTTTGGGTTCAATGGATGACACATGTTTCGTTTGGAATGACTGAGATCTGCAAATAGTGTTTTACTAGCTGAAGATAGTTTATGGTTTTGTCAAAATGATGCTCAATTCAGTGAATGAGTTTAGAGAACTGAGCAATTGATTCAAACAACAGTTTTAGCAATTCAGAAAAACTGCAATTTAAGCGTCTTTTTCTTCAAGTAACAAGTGAACGATCATATGATTGTTCAACA